GACCAGATTTGAACAAATTTGTAACAATTGGCAGGACTTTTGAACTGCGGCGACAACACTTACTCGTCGTATGCTTTCGTGTGGGCATTCCCCACCAACCCTTGCTAAGGGCTGGACCTGCTACATGCGCTCCCGCCAACGTCGCTATCCTACGCATGTGACGCGTTTCTCTCAGTGGTTCCGACGCATGCTGCGATGGTCCTTGAATCATCCAATTTCTTCTTCGCCCCCACGATGCTCTCGTCCTGCCCCTGCTTGCTCATCTTCTGCTACCGCAGCTTCCACTGCTGCAGTCCCCACTCCTGCAGTTTCCACTGCAACAGTGTCCACTGTCGCGGTTTCCACTGCTGCAGTGTCCACTGTTGCGGTTTCCGCTGCTGCAGTGTTCACTGCTGCAGTTTCCATTGCTACAGTTTCCACTGCTCCAGTTTCCGCTGCTGCAGTTTTTACTGCTGCGGTTTCCACTACTGCAGTTCTCAGTACAACAGTTTCCCTAACTGTACTTCCCCCTACTTTAGTTTTTACCGCTACAGCTTCCTGCCCTGCAGCTCCAATGCAAAAAACATCACAATCTCTCCGATGCTCGCGTCCTTTGCTTCGAAATTTTGCCCAATGCACCCCCCTCTCATCTTTGTCTGTACTTGGTCGTAGACGACTGCGTTCCTCCTCACCACCCCCGTTTCCTCCACGTTCTCGCTTGCGAACAGACTCTCCAGTTTCCACTGTTCCCATTGTTCCACCTTTGTTGCTAGGTACAAGTTCAACTTCTGTTTGCAACACTACGACTCCTCTTGTTGTGTATCGCCGACGACATCCGCGGCATCGTCACTTGTTCGGGGATCAGCAACCTGTTTCTTTGTCTGCCCCGATTCTCTCTGTGCCGCGTCCACAGGTTGTTGCGGTTCCTTTGTTTCAAACGGCAATATCCGCTCCTATGCCTCCTGCAGACAGTCCAGCTGCCTGCAGGCAGCCACCAGTCCCTACTTAGGATGCAGCCGCTGCCCATAGTACACTCCCGACTCCAGGTACAGTCCCTACTCAGGATGCAGCCCTAAACGTTGAGGGATTGGAACATGATCTGTCGGGATTGCAGTTGACCCCGCAAGGCGTAGACCACATGGGAGATCTGCAAATGGCTGACCAGCATTGTTCGGATAAACCACAATTTTGTGCTCCGCCACGCACAGACCACATGGGGGATCTGCAAATGACTGACCAGCAAACAGCCCAACACAGATTGGGCTTGCAACACCATCTGGGTGATCTACAAATTGTTGGCCAGCAACCAACAAACCAGCCTGAGAACCTCAACAATCTTTGTGGTCTGGCAGCAACTAATATCTATCTTCACATTCTCCACCGCCCTTTTTATACACCATCAGACTTCCTTGCAATCGCCCTTCAGCTTGATGCTGATCTTCCCCAACGACAGTCAGAGGATTGTAATTATACCAGCGAAGGAAGCTTTACCATTGCTGTCCTACAAGTAGCAATGAGGGACCGTCAACTTGAGCTACGCAATGCTCGAGCAGGTGAGTGGTTTAATCCTCCATCCCACATCTCTGCCTGCATTGTACACGGCCCTGGCCATTACATGGCCATTGTACATGCCTCTGACCACTGGGAGTTGTGGGACAACGGCACCATGGTCCATGCCATGATTGATGTCACCGATTTCTTACAAAATGATGTTGTTTTCTTGCCACAACAAACCGTCCGCAATCTCTTTTATGTCGAAGATCATTCCTCTAGCCCCGTGCTGCAGCAAGATAATGTACCAACACTCTGCAACCTTCTCATTTGCACAACCACAAACACTGTTACACTCGGCTGTAGCCGCCATCGTCTCTGTCACAATCACTACAATGACATGGTTTATGCATCCATGTGTGCAGAGGACTGTCCCACCGTTCCTGACTGCAGGCACCCTCCGCATCCGGACACTATATGTCCATTTTGCGGCCATGGGCGCTATACTGAATGCATGTTGTTTTGTGGTGACTGTTCTTCTTTCATTTTGGCCTGCAATCGACATGCCATTTGTCGGGGGTGTATGGTGGGCATGCTCAATGCCACCCGTCGTGGCATTTGTTGCACTGAGAATGCTCAGCTAGGTCTTCCATGTGTTCATCCACCTCATCCTTACAATGTATGTCCTCTCTGTCGTCAAGGACAGACTCATTCTTGAGCCTTTTCTTATCCTCTTTTGCCTTCATCTTCACTCCACACTCCATACTTTCCCTTACTTTCCCTTTATCGTGCTTTGTTTGTCTGCTCTCCACCTCTCCTCCCTGTGTTTATCCCCTCCCCCTTCACTCTGCCTCTTTCTCACAGTGTACAAGTGGGCTGTTATGGCACACGGGGATGGGGGCAGCTCGCGCTCAACTTCATCAACATGGCGAGCCTTGTATGTTAGAGGCGCGGTGAAAGGGGAGTCAAAAGAAGAATGAGAAAAATGAATGGTTTCACTGTACCCTTCATGTTTGTCTTGTTTTTTTTTAATTTTTTTTTTGTCGTTTGTTTCGCAAATTGCGCTCTTTTAGTTCATAGTTATGTGACAATATATATATATAGTCGGTGAAACTCCGACGAAACAGTTTGTCACAGCCCCTCGTTTGTTGTCCTCTTCTCTCTCTCTGCCTACGGTTTACCAGGCAGTTCTATTTGTGACGATATATATATATATATATATATATATATATGATGAGTCGGTGAAACTCCGACAAAACAGTTTGCCACAGCCCCTCGTTTGTTGTCCTCTTCTCCCTCTCTGCTTACGGTTTGAAACGTTTTTCACCTTTTCCAGTAGCAGATGCAGGCCCCAGGGCTTGATCCCTAGCCCTTACCCTACCGGTGTACAGTATCTGTGTCGACCCCAAGGCTTGAACCCACGACCTGTGTATTTGTAACAGTTAGCAGACTGTCGTAGGGTCCGTAGGTAGCAGGGGTTCGACCCGTAGGTCTGTAGAATAGAAGTCTTAGCGAGTTCCAGAAGTCTGAGCTGTAGTCCTTCTAGAAGGTCCGGCAAGTGGGGAAGTGGGCAAGTGGGGAGCCCAGTGGTGGACTAACTACAGTACGATTGCAGTACGACCCCAGTCGGTTAGCATTGAGTCCCCATTCAGTCAGCGGCAAGGTCCAATCAGTCCCAGTCCGGTCCAGCAAGTACCACGAGGGATTGTGAGCACCATGGGCCGATGGAAAAGGGCAGACCAACGAGCTTCAAAAGTATAAATCAAGAGGCAGCGCCCAGCCATTCATTCATTCCTGCGTGAGCCATGCGGAAGCGCTGCCACAACGACTTGTGCAAGGAGGTGTGCAGTGAGCCCGGAGCTGAAGTGGGCGACAGAGAAGGAACGTAGCATAGCGATAGGGTAGTAGTGACCATAGACGCCATAGCTAGAGTTAGTGTGTAGTGTGTGTGTGTGTGTGTGTAGAGTAACGCGTGTGGGATATCCAGGGTGATCCGGGGTATGCAAGCAGAGAGTTGTTTGGGCGTTGAGTCACCATAGCCATTGAAAGTGAACTTGTATCTGGACTGTGTCTTCGACGACCATATCTCTGAGTTCTGTGTGGGCGCTTGTCGCCAGTTTGCTGTGTGCCTGTTTGCATGCATGGGAGTGTGAAAGAAAGCGAGTCTGATTGCATTGGTATCAGAGCTGGTACCCGCTATTCCATGTGCGTCGTCGTGTGTAGGGAGTGATGCGCCATAGCTGAGGTGGCCGCCACGAGAAGAAGTCCGCCATAGTGGACCTGGAGGTTGGAGAAGCCGCCGCACACCTGCAAAAGAGACCACGACGAAGAAGAAGACCGAGAGAGAGAGAGAGAGAGAGAGAGAGAGAGAGAGAGAGAGAGAGAGAGAG